ATCCCAAGCAGGCCCCATGCTCAGCACACAACCTGATGTGGGGCTGGATCTCATGACCCTGGGATCATGACCAGAGTTGAAACCAAGAGTTGGACGCTCAACCAACCAAGCCACCCAACCCCCCAACAAAGAAGGTACTATTTTCTTTTTTTTCTTTCTTTCTTTTTTTTTTTTTATGTTTTATTTATTTCTAGGAGAGAGAGAGAGAGACAGCGTGAGCAGGGGAGGGTCAGAGAGAGAGGGAGTCACAGACTGAAACAGGCTCCTGGCTCTGAGCTGGCAGTCAGCACAGAGCCCGACGCGGGGCTCGAACCCACAAACCGCGAGATCATGACCCAAGCGAAAGTCGGACGCCTAACCGACTAAGCCACCCAGGTGCCCCAAGAAGGTACTATTTTCATTAGAGGGGTTAAATAACCTTCCTCAGGTCTCATAAGTAGTGAGAGGATTTAAACCTGGGTATGGTTAGACTCTAAGTCTCAATCTTTTTCTGTTACTCTAGTCAGCCCGTGTGATGGACCGAATGTTTGTGCCCCCTCCAAAATGAACAGCTGAAGCCCTAGCCCCCAGTGTGATGGTTATTTGGAGATAGGGCATTTGGGAGGTCAATCGGTTTATATTAGGGTACGAGGGTGGGAGCCTCATGATGAGATTAATGCCCTTCCAGAAAGAGGACCAGAGAGCTCTCTCCCCGCGAGCATGCACTGAGGAAAGGCCACGTGAGCACACAGGGAGAAAGTGGCTGTCTACAAGCCTGGGGCTGGGTCCTCCCCAGACATCAAATCCTTGCACCTTGACCTTGGACTTCCCAGCCTCCAGAACTGTGAGAAGTAAGTTTCTGTTCTCTGAACCACCAGGTCTACGGTACTTGGTCATGGCGGCCCAAGCAGATAGAGACAGCCATCAAGTAGGTTTTATAGATCTTTATGCAGCTTCATGAGAGCAATCCAAAGAGCTTATTTAGCTTTTCCCTCCAAATGAAGCGCCCCGGGTCTGGACGCCTGTGCTGGCAGAGAGACGGAGGCGGGACGGTACCTGTTGAGACAGTCATCCACACAGCCCTTCCTGGCGTCGTCCTCTGGCTTCTTGCAGTTACAGGTGGTGGCCTCGTAACCAGAAAGTGGTTTGACATCGACGTAGACATCTTGAGAGAAGACAGCAAAGGGTACTTTGTAAACACATAGGATCAGTTTGAAGCGCCAGGCTAAGAAGAACATTGATGGTATGACGGCAGAAAAAATAGCTCGCAAGTTACTCACTTGAACGGATTTTTTTATATAGTGGGACATCTGGCTTTTTGTATAGCTAGAAGAAAGAAAAGAAAAATCTTGATATAGCATTTAACTTCAAATGCCAGAGAGCAGCATCAATCACTAAAAATACAAGAAAGTATCCACGTGCCCTGCTCAGATGGGAATATTGATAAGACTTTCTGGGTTGTGTGTATCTGAGGGAAATTCTTGGTGTGATCACTTTTTATCCTGAAATAAAAAGTGACTGACTAGATCAGGGTGAGGTGAGAGAGAAACAGATTCAACAACAGAGGAAATGGTAAATACTTTAAGTGAAAATGCATTTTCAATTATAAGCTTCTTTAGCGTGTTTTACGAGTCTTAAATGAAAATTGCTTAAGGCCTGATTTGCCTTTATGAAAAGCAAGGAAAAGCTGCACAGAGCTTGCTGAGATGGTCGGGGTCGGGGGGCAGAGGCACACGGGGCTGCGGAGATGAGCACCCTGGCCTGCTCAGAATGGGAATTACAGAAAAACACAGGTCACGTTTTAATTAAGGCAATAATTTAGTGAATAGAGGGGAGAGGGAAGGCAGGAAATAAAGCTTTCATATTGCAATTAAGAAAACAAATAAACTGAAAAAATGCTTATGTATTTATTTTGAGAGAGACGGAGCGCATGAGCGAGCCCGAGGAGGGACGGAGGAGAGCGAGGAGCATCCCAAGCAGGCTCCGCACCGTCAGCTCAGAGCCGCACAAGGGGCTTCATGCCACGAACCGAGGGACAGTGACCAGGGCCGAAACCAAGAGCCAAGAGCCCCCCCCCACCCCCCCCACCCCCGATGCCCGATGCCCGAAGAGAGGGCATACGATCCTGCAAGAGACGCGACCGTCGCTTCTCAGTCCGCGGTACGAGCTCTGAGACACATGTCTGACCTACTGACCCTCTCAGATTCGAGAGAGGTCACCGGGGAGAGACTGCACAGAAGGCCCACCGCTTTCGGCTCTCCGAAATGAAACTTGGCTGGAATTCTGGCAAAGCTCAGGAGTCTACTCGCCACATCTGCCTGCCTATTTCCCAAAGCCGTTTCCAGCGCGGGCCGCGGCACACAGCTCACTACAGAAATCCCTGGGGGCGCTTTTCAGTCAGGGAACCAGGAGCAGGAGAGAAAAAAGCACCTTCCCATCTTCAGCTCCCAATTTAAGAAAAGATCTTTTAAAAGTACGTGAGTGTTAAATATTTTCCCTGTTTCCTTTGGTAGAAGATCTCTCTTGTACGTGAAAAATAAGTTCCAAACGGATGGGAAGGAGCCAACAAAAATAAAGCCTGAAATTTCTTAGTGCCGCTGGCAGTACATCTGAACCCTCCCGGGACCTGCATCAACCACGATTCTTGCGGAACACGTCTCCGCCACCAAAATAAAAGCCCAGCATAACACAGAAGGCTGCCCGGGGAGGCAGGGACTCGCTGCTATTCTGAAGTAGGAATACAGGCAAATAGGTCACATTAAATATGGATGCAAATTCATTCTTCTTAGTCTGTAACCTTCATGGGACAGAAGCTTCTCCATGCTTCCTTCCTAAGATGGGGGCATAACAAGGAGGCAGAGCCGGGGACCTGCTGTCACCTCCCCTCCCCCCCCCCCCAGGAGGAAACCTGGTAAGACGGGCTCTTGTACCTGATTGTGTTTCCACTGCCAAAGGATGTCATAGGGAAGCTGGAAGTCAATCCTCTTCTGCCTCAGGTACTTGCCTGCAACAGACACACACGGTCACCTCCGGCGCCCAGGCGCACACAGGCTCGCCCGCCACAAGGCCTCATCCGCGCCGACTAGGAAGATCAAGATTTAATTTCTAATTTCATGGATTTTTCCATCACCAATGTTTAATTTTAGCTACGCTTTTCCATCACCGTCCATGTGGTATTTGCGAAAGACAGATTTTAATAGCAGCCTGAATGAAACAACATTCCAAAAAGTACACAGGTCATTATGAAGGGAACTGAGAATTGTTCGTTTATTAAAATTATTCCCTAGAGCATCTGTTCTCCGTTATTGTAATCGTTATTGTAAATAATCGAAGATGGTCTGTAAGAATGGGAAGTATAAGAATTTTCTAAAGCAGGAGTCCCTGAGTTTAAAGAACTCAAGAGTATTTACACTCAAGTTTACCCTCAGTTAGCGTTTTCTCCGTCTACTGAACCCGGACACCATCAAGCGTCACAGGCCCCCTTCTGCTTTGAAGAGGCGTCTATTTCCCTGCTTTCTGACTTGTCCGTCCTTGAGGTGACTCAGTGCGGGGACACAACGGCCTCCCCGGGGTGGGCGGGGCCCCCACAGAGCGCGCGGGGCGGGCTCCTCCCCCGACCTCCTACGAGGGCACGAGGGCACGCGGCGCCCACCCGTCCCGGTGGGGAAGGTAGTGGTGGGCGGACCCGCTGGCACCTCGCGGGAGCGAAGGCGAGGGGCACAGACCCGCGCCAGAAGAGGGAAGCTGCCGGAAACGAGCCGTGCCGGCACCGTAAGAACATTCAACGTCTCGAGTGCTTTCGATGAAGTCATAAAAATTCTGAGATGTTGACCCACAAGTCAAAAAACGGAGTCCCCGCCACAGCCCAAGGGAAGAGCGCAGCCTGGCAGCCGAGCGGGGGACAGGGCGGGGGACACGGCGGGGGACAGGGCGGGGGGACAGGGCGGGGGACACGGCGGGGGACAGGGCGGGGGGACAGGGCGGGGGACAGGGCGGGGGACACGGCGGGGGACAGGGCGGTGAGCGCGCCGGCCTCTTCCGTGCGGCCTGACTGTCGGTGAGCAGACGGCGATGAGCTGTGGCCCTTTGGGCTCAGGGACCGACGGCGAGTGAAGTGAGCCCATCACTTCAGGAAACCGCTGGAAGGATCTGTTTTCAGTGATAAAATCTGAGTGTGAAGCGAACACTGGAATCGTGGAAAACCCGTGCCCGCCCTCGTGAGACTCTTTAGTTCTGCAGCACTCACTGTCCTCACGAAGTAAGTGGCAAGATCAGCAACGTGAAGGGTTTCGGACACACACGGGGAACCGAAGAGCAGTACGATTCAGCGAATCGGACTGTTTCAGTGACCGACGCATGAAGTGATAAAGTGACAAATGGGTAAAAAATCCATTTATTTTTACTTACTAAAATGTTTTTTTCAAGTTTACTTACTTATCTTGAGAGTGAGAGACAGCACCAGTGGGGGAGGGGCAGAGAGTGAGGGAAACAGAGTCCCAAGCAGGCTGAGCTGCTAGCACAGAGCCCGACGTGGGGCTCAAACTCCCAAAACTGCACGATCAGGACCTGAGCTGAAATCAAGAGTCGGAGGACGCTTAACCCACTGAGCCGCCCAGGTAAAAATTCACTTACGTTCCAAGAGGGACCAAGGACTGTAACGTAACAGAATACAAAAAGTTCCCTGATATTCACACTCCACATTATAATTCACCTTTAAGGAAATATTACATTTATATTTTTGCTGCAGTGTCAAAGAAGAATTATCTGAAATTATTAAAATATTCTTATCTGCATGAGAATAGATTTCTTCATGTATTTGAACCAAAGTAACACCATAATAGATTGAATGCAAAAAAGATTAGGAAGTCCAGAAGTCTTCGATTAATTCTGACATCAAAGAGACTTGCAAAAATGTGAAATAAAGTCACTTTTCTCATTAAATTTTTCTTTGGGAAGGTTATTTCTCATAGAAACATGTATTTATGTTAACACGTAATGCGTAAAGAGTCTGACAGACGTGAGGATACGGCGGCATGGGGTACAGGTGTATCCTGGGAGGAGAACATGGGGACATCAGGTCAATAACGTGGGGGGGATGGCTGGGCTCCACTTGCAGGCAGGCGGCAAAGCTGGATGGGACACGGCACAGTCCGCGGTGAAGAGCGGAAGCACCGTACAGGTTTATCAGAGGGAAGCACACGCTGGCACACTCGAACAATGGGATGTGCAGCTACTGCAGTAAAATGAGGGGTGCACTGACCCACGTGGAAACACCCTCCAAGCTGCAGAAGAATATGGCATGGGCTCATTAAAAACATACTTTAAAACCCTGAAGAGTTATTCGTGGTGGGGACAGCCGGGGAAAGGGCGTGAGGGCACTTTCTGGGTGAGGACACTGTGTAGGAGGGACTGGGTTACGTGGGTCCATGAGGAAAACCCTTAGCGAACGTACATTTAACATTTATGCATTTTATTGATGGTAAATATACCTCAAAAGAAAAGCCTGTAAACAAATACTGAGATCTTGGCTCTGATGTGTGTGCTGACATACTTGGAGGAGGTATACCAATGTCTGCAACTTACTTTGCAGATGAATTAGCAGATGGAGAAATAAATATATGGTAAATCAAAGTCAAAAAATTTTTTAAGTTTATTTGGGGAGTGAGTGAGTGAGCTTGGGGGATGGGCAGAGAGGTGGAGGAGAGAGAGGGGGAGAGAGAAAATCTCAAGCAGGCTCCGTGCAGTCAGCACAGAGCTGAACCTGGAGCTTGAACTCATGAACTATGAGATCATGACCTGAGCCAAAATCAAGAGTTGGACACTTAACCGACTGAGCCACCCAGGCACCCCTCAAAGTCAGATGTTAATGACATAGATACTGCATGTTCACTGCAGAGTTTTTTTCAATTTTTTGCTTACTGAAAAATGCCACAAGAAAGCGCTGGAAGAAAAGTTTGAAAGGGGATATGCTAAATTATTATATTTCTGAGAAGGGCAAGCTTTATTTTTAATTCACACCTTTCTATATTACAACAATTTTTTTTACAAGTATGTAGTCACTGTTTTTTTTTTTTTTTTTTTTAACAGTTTATTCATTTTTGAGAGACAGAGACAGAGTGCGAGCAGGGCAGGGGCAGAGAGAGGGAGACACAGAATCCGAAGCAGGCTCTGGCCTCTGAGCTGTCAGCACAGAGCCTGACGGAGGGCTGTGTGACCTCTGACCTCTGACTACAACAGGTTCTTAGTAATTGCTTTTTGAAATTAACAACAGAACTTTTACTTTTCCTGAACATTTATTGAGTACTGACTGTGTACCAGGTCCCAGACTAGGCTTCTACACAAACCACCTCACATCCTCACCCTACAGACACCACCACAATGTCTCCATTTACTGATTAAAACAACAACTGAGAATCAGAGACAAAGTGACTTTTCCAAGGTCACACAACTAACCCAGATTTTAGCTACATACCAGATTTTAATTTAAAAATTTTTAAAAAACATTTTTATTTATTTTTGAGAGACAGAATGTGAGCGGGATACAGTCAGACAGAGAGGGAGACACAGAATCTGAAGCAGGCTCCAGGCTTTGAGCTGTCCAGTACTGTTTCTTAATAACAATACAAATATAATTTTTTAAAAAGTCAGAATTGGTTCTCAGAAGGTAGTACAAACCCATAATGTAAAGGGTTAACTCCTTTCTTTGCCAGCAATATCTGGTATGTTTTCTTTTCTTTTTTAATGTTTTATTTATTTTTGAGAGAGAGAGGTAGAGACAGCATGAGCAGGGGTGGGTCGAGAGAGAGGGAGATACCGAATTCAAAGACAGGCTCCAGGCTCTGAGCTAGCTGTCAACACACAGAGCCCGAGGCGGGGCTCGAATCCATGAACCGTGAAATCATGACCTGAGCCGAAGTTGGACGCTTAACCGACTGAGCCACCCAGGCGCCCCTATATCTGGTATGTTTTCTGAAGAGGGTGTAAAAGAGTGAAGGAGAATCCAGTAAGTTATACATTTTTAAAAGAATAGTTTCTGGGGCGCCTGGGTGGCTTAGTCGGTTAAGCATCCGACTTTCGCTTAGGTCATGATCTCGCGGTTCGTGGGTTCGAGCCCCGTGTCCGGCTCTGTGCTGACTGCCAGCTCAGAGCCTGGAGCCTGTTTCAGTCTGTGACTCCCTCTCTCTCTGACCCTCCCCTGCTCACGCTGTCTCTCTCTCTCTCTCCTAGAAATAAATAAAATATTTAAAAAAAAAATAAAAAAAAATAAAAGAATAGTTTCTCTAAGAAAGCATTCACATCCACTTCAAGTAACCTCAAAGACACGATTTTTCCCACAGTCCAACATCTTGACTTTGCAATGAGTCTCGGTAGATGTATTAAAAAAGAGGGGCGCCTGGGTGGTCAGGTCAGTTGAGTGTCCGACATCGGCTCAGGTCACGATCTCATGGTTTGTGGGTTGAGCCCCGCGTCGGGCTCTGTGCTGACAGTTCAAGGCCCTCTTTGGATCCTCTCTCCCAGTCTCTCTCTGCTCCTCCCCCGTTTGCATGCTCTCTCTCAAATATAAATAAAAAACATTAAAAAAAAAAAAGAGACAAAGAGAGAGAGAGATAGACAATAGGTCTCAAATAGAGTCACCTGTGCTAAGCCAGGTCACCGGCCCAGGGTTTACTCTCTAACCTAACAGCAGTTTAAAACTCCTCCAGAAACACAGCCTTACCGGGTGGGTGCCCATGACGAAATCGGCTATGCAGCCTGCTCTCCAAGCCCCTAAGGAAGGGGAGTCAGTGCCCTTGGTCCTTCCCCTTCTGCCCTTCCGGACGGCTCCGTGCTGGGTGGGGTGTGTTGTGGAACGAGGCCAGCGACCTCTCAGTTCATTCGGATGAGGTGCCGGTGCCTTTCCTGGCACCATCTGTGACCCCCTCGCCCCCCACCCTGAGGGCCGGGGCGGGGAACGGCGCGCGCTCTCTCCTCTCCTCTAACATCTCTGAAACCAGAGCCAGGTGA